TGTACAAGATCACAACATGACAAAATACTGTGCAGAAATAGAAATGTCATGCATTTTTTATTTGCATGTACATGATGTGCATGTGTACTGCACATCCAGGAGTGCAGTTCATAAAAGCAGAAATGTTATTTGACCCGAGTGAAGCAGTGAACACCAGCAGCAGGCTGTGAACATGTTGGGTTTGTTGGGAGCAGAGAAGGTTCTGGAGTCTGACAGCTGCTGGCAGGAAGGATCTGAGTTAACGTTCCTTAATGCACCAGGATGGAGGATCTGAGTTAACGTTCCTTAATGCACCAGGATGTAGGATCTGAGTTAACGTTCCTTAATGCACCAGGATGGAGGATCTGAGTTAATGTTCCTTAATGCACCAGGATGGAGGATCTGAGTTAATGTTCCTTAATGCACCAGGATGGAGGATCTGAGTTAACGTTCCTTAATGCACCAGGATGGAGGATCTGAGTTAACGTTCCTTAATGCACCAGGATGGAGGATCTGAGTTAATGTTCCTTAATGCACCAGGATGGAGGATCTGAGTTAATGTTCCTTAATGCACCAGGATGGAGGATCTGAGTTAACGTTCCTTAATGCACCAGGATGGAGGATCTGAGTTAACGTTCCTTAATGCACCAGGATGGAGGATCTGAGTTAATGTTCCTTAATGCACCAGGATGGAGGATCTGAGTTAACGTTCCTTAATGCACCAGGATGGAGGATCTGAGTTAACGTTCCTTAATGCACCAGGATGGAGGATCTGAGTTAACGTTCCTTAATGCACCAGGATGTAGGATCTGAGTTAACGTTCCTTAATGCACCAGGATGGAGGATCTGAGTTAACGTTCCTTAATGCACCAGGATGGAGGATCTGAGTTAATGTTCCTTAATGCACCAGGATGGAGGATCTGAGTTAACGTTCCTTAATGCACCAGGATGGAGGATCTGAGTTAACGTTCCTTAATGCACCAGGATGGAGGATCTGAGTTAACATTCCTTAATGCACCAGGATGGAGGATCTGAGTTAACGTTCCTTAATGCACCAGGATGGAGGATCTGAGTTAATGTTCCTTAATGCACCAGGATGGAGGATCTGAGTTAACGTTCCTTAATGCACCAGGATGGAGGATCTGAGTTAATGTTCCTTAATGCACCAGGATGGAGGATCTGAGTTAATGTTCCTTAATGCACCAGGATGTAGGATCTGAGTTAATGTTCCTTAAGGCACCAGGATGGAGGATCTGAGTTAATGTTCCTTAATGCACCAGGATGGAGGATCTGAGTTAATGTTCCTTAATGCACCAGGATGTAGGATCTGAGTTAACGTTCCTTAATGCACCAGGATGGAGGATCTGAGTTAATGTTCCTTAATGCACCAGGATGTAGGATCTGAGTTAAAAAACTCAGATCCTACAGCTGCTGGCAGGAAGGATCTGAGTTAACGTTCCTTAATGCACCAGGATGGAGGATCTTAGTTAACGTTCCTTAATGCACCAGGATGGAGGATCTGAGTTAACGTTCCTTAATGCACCAGGATGTAGGATCTGAGTTAAAAAACTCAGATCCTACAGCTGCTGGCAGGAAGGATCTGAGTTAACGTTCCTTAATGCACCAGGATGTAGGATCTGAGTTAATGTTCCTTAATGCACCAGGATGTAGGATCTGAGTTAACGTTCCTTAATGCACCAGGATGGAGGATCTGAGTTAACGTTCCTTAATGCACCAGGATGTAGGATCTGAGTTAAAAAACTCAGATCCTACAGCTGCTGGCAGGAAGGATCTGAGTTAACGTTCCTTAATGCACCAGGATGGAGGATCTGAGTTAATGTTCCTTAATGCACCAGGATGGAGGATCTGAGTTAACGTTCCTTAATGCACCAGGATGGAGGATCTGAGTTAATGTTCCTTAATGCACCAGGATGGAGGATCTGAGTTAACGTTCCTTAATGCACCAGGATGGAGGATCTGAGTTAATGTTCCTTAATGCACCAGGATGGAGGATCTGAGTTAATGTTCCTTAATGCACCAGGATGTAGGATCTGAGTTAATGTTCCTTAATGCACCAGGATGGAGGATCTGAGTTAACGTTCCTTAATGCACCAGGATGGAGGATCTGAGTTAACGTTCCTTAATGCACCAGGATGGAGCTTCTTGCCTGGCTGGGAAATCGGGTCAGGAGACGCAGAACGACTGAATCCTGGATCCAAGCAGCTTCCTCCTCATAGAGGCTGGAGTTTAAAACGTTTAAAACGTTTCTGTTCCCACTGCCTCCTCCTGACCGTTCAGAACCGATTCTGCTTCTGAAAATGTTGCTTTTGACTTTGAGTTCAGATCTGCTGTTTTCTCTGTTAACTGTCAGATTTTGATGTGTGAATCCTGGATGCTGTTTCAGTGTTTCTGAACGTCCAGCATCCTGGTTTTACAAAGTGCATCATTTCTCTGGTTTTCTAACCGTTGCTTTGCAGAAACACAGGTTCTTCAGACACATCAACTGGGAGGAGCTGCTGAACAAGCGAGTGGAACCGCCGTACAAACCGCAGCTGGTTGGTCTTCTTCTACGCTCGCTCTGACTTTCAGAGCTTCTTTCTCCTCTTTAAACTGGAAGCGTGTTCTGCTGTAACTGAGCGCGTCTCCGTTCCCTCCTGTCAGCACTCTGAGGAAGACGTGAGCCAGTTTGACACCAGGTTCACCAGACAGACGCCGGTGGACAGTCCGGACGACACCAGGCTGAGCCACAGCGCCGAGCTCGCCTTCGCCGTCAGTCCATCAGCCTCCATGTTCTGGAACTTTTTCCTTTTTTTTCTTTCGGCTGTTTGAGTTTTCATTTCCTCCGGCAGGGTTTCTCCTTCGTGGCACCATCGGTCCTCGAGAGTCTGAAGGAAGGATTCTCGTTTGAGCCGCGATCGCGTCACGTCCGCCGCCACAACAGCAGCCCGCGCACCCCCATCAGGTAGGAAGTGGTACTGCAGCGTCCAGTGGCTTCTAAACTATTCAACTCCTTCATGTTGAACCATTTTATTACTTCTGAAAATCTAAATGTTTCTGTTTTAATGTCAAAAATGAAAACTGAGTTCAACAAATGAATCAAATACAAATATACAATATAAATTGGGTGAATTTAATTAGCAACTCAGCAAACTTTGTCAATGTTTGTAATAAAAAAAATAAAGTTGCAGAGTTTCTACACATTCGTAATTCTTTAATTTGTATATGTCTACAAATGTCTTAAAATGTCTGAAGTTCCTCTTAAAAACCAGTTTGGCCTTTAATACGCCAGTCACATGTTTTCACAGCTCCACTAGTAAAGTCTAGTAAAGTCTTTGTATTTTTCTCACATGATGTTTCTGTTAAGTGAACATTTCAGTCTCACTCAAGCTGAGGCTAATGCTAACTAGCTGCTAACATGCCTTTACTGGTTACCAGGCTAGCTAGCTTCTTCCATCTGTCCTGGGTAAGTGAAAATTTACTGTCAGTCATCTGGACAACATTTAAACATTTCTGTGGAGAAATGGGTGTAAAATCCATCCATGGTCTTAAAACGTCTTAAATTCCAGTTTTCTTCTGACTGGTGGTGAATAAACTATAATATAATATACTCACCATCATAAAGTCTCACAATTTTATATGAAGATTTTGATTTCCATCTCAACTTGAAAAAATCATTTGAATCTTTATTGCAACAGCTTTTGGGATGATCGTTGTTTCTGTTTCTCCTCAGTCCTCTGAAGTTCTCTCCGGCCGGGCCCTTCAAGTCCAGCTTGGACGGGGAAGCGGACCTGTTCTCCCCCGTGTCCCCGCCTGCCGCCGTGCGTCCCGGCCCGCTGGAGAACGGCACGGCCAGTCAGCCCATCAAGACGCCTTCCAGGAACAAGAAGAAGAAGGAGCATCGGAGATGAAGAACCAGAGGGATTGTGTCTCTGTCAGGGTTCATTTGAAGCTCTGAAAGAACCAGACAACTAAATCCTCCGCTTTACAGGAACTCCTTCTCAATCTAATTAAAGGAGAGCAAGGCATTGATTTTCCTTTAGCAGCCTCCCTGCGTGTTTATGGGGAGAGTTGGGATTTGTGATGGATGGACTGGAAACTGTGGAGTTTAAGTACAGAGAGAAGAAGCTCTGATTTAAGGTTTTCCAGTAATGAGTCTGCCAGATGTCGACCGTCAGCCGACAGGAAGCTCAACTTTAACGCTTCTGTTGGTTGCTTTTATTTATTTCTGCATGTAAAAAGAAAACATGATGACATCAGTCTGCCTCTTGGTTCGTATTGAGAACATTTAACCAATCAGAGCAGCCTGGGCCTTAAAGAGACAGGAGCTAAAAACTCGATAGGAAACAAAATCACTGTCTTCAGCTTTGAAATTGAGTTTGTGAATTAGATTCTTTTGTACATAGAAATCTGCTGACCGATGCAGCAGGATGTCGTGTTTGTCTTTTCTTTTTTCTCTGGATCTTCATGTCTGCTGCCAAACTTGTTCTGATTGGACCGATGGACCGGTCCTATCAGAATCCAAGCCGTTGATCACAGAACCTGCTGATCAAACCGTGTTGGTGACGAATCAGAGGCGTTTAGTTCCCCGTCAGGGAATCACTCAGGAAGCTCCTCTAAAAGGGAATCAGGATGACGCGGATGATCAGGGACCGTCTGGTTCTGGTCCGAATATTTTCTGTTTCATCAAGAATATTTTCTTCAAAGTTTTTATCTTTTCTCATCATTGGCAGAACTTCCCTTTAAACTGACATGGGTTGAAGGATTGGGGTTTCCTTCCTCTCAGAGCAGTTTGGGAGCCTCGGTTCTGTTGGGAGCCGATCCTCCCAACAGAACCGGCGGAACTGGGTCGGATCTGCCCACACGGTTCGGTCTGCTGAGTTTCCATGCGTTAGGAAGACGGTCTGAGCATCAACCTCCTCAGTCATGTTGCGTCAACATGTCAAAGTGATTGGTTATTTTGTGACGCGCTCCGGACCCGCCTGCAGTCAAAGGTCCAGTTTCACTCCATCAAACTTCAGCAGCCTGAGGGAATCTGGCTTTGGCTTCTCCTGGATTGTAGCTTCCTGCTTTCAGCCCAGGTGGTGGTTCACACCTTAACTGGACCTTAACTGGACCCGTTTCATACCAGAACCAGTTGGTCTGAGGGAGACGGGACCTGTCCTCACCGGATCAGAACGACGGCTGACCGCAGAACCATCTGACCGCAGAACCGTCTGACCTCAGAACCGTCTGACCTCAGAACCATCTGACCTCAGAACCATCTGACCTCAGAACCATCTGACCTCAGAACCGTCTGACCTCAGAACCATCTGACCTCAGAACCATCTGACCTCAGAACCATCTGACCGCAGAACCGCAGAACCGTCTGACTGCAGAACCGTCTGAACTCTTTATGGATTTGATCAAATTGAAATGATCATTTTAACCCAAAACTAAAATACAAGGTCATTTAATGTCAGACGTTGAAGAAAAATGATTTGGGTTCAGATTAAGAGATTTTGTTTTGTTTTGTTTTCAAATTTCAGGAGGCATTTGCAATCTAAAATATTCCAAGCATTAAAAATGCATTAAGCATTGATTTTAATGTGGACATTAGGAAACATGTCACAGTTTTCTTTCCTTATTTTTCAAAATTCTGAATCATTTTAAGCTCTGAGTGAATCCATAAACGGATATTATTGATGTCAATGAGAGAAGCTGATTGGATTCTGTTTGCAGCAGCCGTAAATAGCCGGTGCCGGTTCTGATCCGGTCACAGCATGAAAACCAGTCTGAACCAGTTAAAATGTCCTGCCATTTCAGAGTGGAAATGTCAGGACAGTGGAAAGTTTGGCGGCTGAACATCTGAGTTTATTGATTAATCGTCTATAAAAACCACCAGGAGGCCGAGAAACTTTCTGTGATGCCCGGGTCGTGTTCAGGCTCCCCTCCCCATCATGGTGCTAACTTTAAATTAATCCAGTTTTCTGTCGTTAAAAATCGATCAAACATAAACAGGAATTAAAACAGATTTTCTTTATTTTTTTTTGCACTTCCATCTTTAGATATTTTTAGGATTTGAAAGTTGAGCTTCCATTTAGTTTTAATTTAGTTTTTTAAAGTTGTCTGCAGTGTTTGGATCAGCCTTATAACCTTATAATCATTCTCACATCAGAAAATGATTTATTTGTTGGATTTTGTTTATTTACATAATTCATTAACAATTATGTAGAATTAATCTCTACAAGGACATTTTATTGTGGTGATAAAGGAACAATGCGCCTCTGGAATTGTAGATATGTAAACACAGAAGAAGAAAAGGTTTATATTTGGATTGTTTTCTGTTTCCTCTGATGATGAATGTTGTGAATAAATCTGATTTCCTGATGTTGAGACGATTCATTCAGTGCAGAAAGCAGCTGGTGGCGATGTGCTAAAGGTTCCTGCAGCAGGATTCGTGCATTAGTTTTAGATCATTGTTCACAACGATGGGTTTGTGAAGTTAAAGCACTTGGCCTGTGGAGGAAAGAATGGGTTCATGTAGTCATATTTTCAGTGTTATTGATTCATATGTCATAGTTCACTCACTAAAAAAAAAGCTGAAATGACTAAAAGCAGCTTCTATGGAGAGAAAAGAAAGTGAACAGTAGAAATAGCAGCAAGTTGGTGAGAAGAAGAAGAAGAAACGAGGAAAGAGGTCGAGGCAGAACCAGGGAGATCCGTCGGCCCGGACCATCAAATCAGAACCTTTTCATCTGAGTTTCGGTCGGGAAACTTACCGGATCCAAACCCAGTTAAAAACAAATGACTTTTTATGACCCAACATTTATCTTTCATGGCGAAAGCTTTCAAGGTGTAGAAATAATGTTTCCTGTTGCATAAGAGCAGCGAGACCTCCCAGCTGCAGCCACGTTCCAGAACCTGCTCATTCTGCAGAACAATAAACCCGTTTATCACAGAACAATAGGAGAACAGAACCACAGTGGATTTCTGGAATGATAAGTGATGCTGTGTGGAAATATGAAATCCAAGCCAGAGTCACTTATGAACATGTAAATGTTGACAGAACTGTGAGCCTCCGGCTCATCCAACATGAGAGCAGCTCTAACTTAACCGTCAAACTCCGTAAATAAACTCTGGGACTCGACTGATTGTTCATCTGAAGGAGTGAAAGAGCTTCAGTTTGTGGATGTTTGGTTTTCTGTCTGCAGCCTGGGGTTGAATCAGGAGACGTTCTGTCCTGATGAAACTGCCTCAATGATGAGGCTGCTGCTAAAGGAACCAGATTCTTCATAACAGAACCATGATGGAGCATTTTGGACCGGATGCTGAGAAAATAAACTTTTACAGTAATGAAGTCAGCAGAGGCGAAGCAAAAATGAGTCTCAGCTGGAGGGAAGCAGAACTAAAGACAGAATAAAGCAAAGATCTGCTGGAAGATGAAGACAATCCATCATTAAATGTTTCTGTTAAACTATGAAAAGGAATGGAAGAGACCCAGAGGACTGTGTTCAGGTTGTGAATGCCCTGAGGGACTCCATGTGTAACAGGAGATCTGAAGAAGAGGAAATATTTATTGTCTTGTGTTTAAAGAATTTAACTTTCCTGACTTTGGGATCAACTGCTTTAGCTGCTTCACCAGATTTATCTTAAGATTCATTCTGTTAAATAATTTGGTGCAAATTCACAACAAACTGTTTTTTCACTTTAAACAATCTTTGAACTGGGACCAGTCTGGGTGAAGCCCATTTGGGTCCACAAACTCCTGCATGATACCAACGTGGTCCTCATAAAGGGACCCATCTGGCCCGGATGAGTCAACCACATGGGCCCCATCCAGGACGCTTGTGACTGCAGGATCTGAACCGGTCCAGTCACACATGCTGGGTTGGCGTTCAGACCCGGGTCGGTCCCACACCGGAGTGTTAGAAACTCAGGAATGCGCTGATGTGGGAGCCGAAGCCACTTTTCCTCATCTGTCTTTGATTTTCTGTTTCCAGAAGAAAATGTGGCTTTGTTTCAAACCCAGTTGCGAAACTCTTGAGAGCAAAGTTTTCACAAAGCAGTTGCACAACCGGCTCTTAATTAGCTTTCCTCCTTTGTGCCAACATGTTGCTTTAAGCATCGAAAGCTGCTTTTCCTTCCCTCTCTGTTCACTACAATCGTGCATGTTGTAATTTGTATCTGGTTTAAGATGCAGATGTTCCACATGTTCCTCTATGTTTGCTTCTTGCAGAAGCACAGCGGAGGTGAAGTAGCATGTGGTGACCAGCTGGGGGCAGCACAGAGCCTCTTCAGCAACAAATAACAGGAGAAAAAGTGTTCTGCAGATAATCAATACCATTTCTTAATATCATATTTAATCTTTCTTGGTCTTTCCTGAATTCTGGAAGGTGACGGATGTTTTCAGTCGACATCCTGCTGCAGGAAGTTCTTGCAGTGACCTTTGACCTTTCTACCTCCAGGTTGCCTCACAGATGCAGGACACCAAGCAGCTTCATGGATCCCACATAGAGCAGTTCTGGTTCTGCTCTCCTGCAGAGCAGCTCTTCTGTCTCTGGAGGAAAATGAATCTTCACATCAGAGCCGCCGTTTCAGCCCGGTTCTGGATCCGGACCACAGCGGCCCACTGTGATGAGCTGGATTTGATCAGAACACCTGGTTCTGGTTTAGTTCTCACACCCAAACCCATTCTGTTGGACCGGGCCACACTCGGTCCTCTGGGTAATCTGCTCTGCTTTGCCATATTTGGGCCTTTATGAAGTGAAGCCATGATGGCTCCCAGCAAACATCTGGTTCTGTTGGACCTTCAAAAAGTTTTCAGCCCCTCACCAGCCACAGACTGTTTGGGCTTTATGTAATTTAAACCCAGATGTTCTGGTTCTGGTCTCAGATGTTCTTCAGAGAACAACCAGCATCATGGAGACCAGTGAACCCAGCAGGTCAACATGGACCCACTGAGCCACAGACAGAGACAACGGCTCCGCATGGTGGCTCCGCGTGGCGGCGGCGCATGGCGGCGGCGCGTGGCGGTGACGCGTGGCAGCGGCGCGTGGCGGCGGCGCGTGGCGGCGGCGCGTAGCGGCGGCGGCGCTTGGCGGCTCCGCGTGGCGGCGGCGCGTGGCGGCGGCGCGTGGTGGCTCCCTCCATGTGGCGACTCCAATGAAACGGCAGCGGTTGTTCAAAAACATGGAATTGACTCAGTTTCAAAGGTTTGTTTGGGCAATATCAGCATAAATACAATAATCAACATGCAGAGATAAAAACACTGTCTTCATCCTTAAGTTCCTGATGTCACTAATTAGCATCATACCTAAATCTAAGCACTTGGTAGGTTAAATGTTCAGATTAAAAATCAAGTTTGTTTGGCAGTTCAAAGTGCTTCATGAAAACAGAAATAAAGTCATAAAACGTCAATTTGAGAAACCACAAACAATCATCACATTCTGTCTGATGCCTTCATCAAAACTATTGATGCACATCAAATATGTCCATCAATGTCCAATTTATTACGGTTCTAAAGCAACTGCAAGCAGATTTAAAGGAGCTCGGGGTTCTGGTGAGCTGCAGCAGCCGCTCCTCCGCTGCTGCAGCTGCTGCTGCAGCCACTGCTGTGCTGCAGCCGCTGCTGTGCTGCAGCCGCTGCTGCAGCAGCTCCTCTCTGCTGTGCCGTCGTGATAACAACCAGCTGGACTCGGTCAGAGTGCAGGTTCTGTTGGGGTGTGAAACCCGTCGCTCCGTTCGAAGAAGCAAACGCAGCTGGTAGAACATGTGAATTCACAACATGTGAATTCACATGTCGTGAATTCACATGTTCTGAATTCAGAACTGGACAAAAGTTTCTACAAACTGCAGGACAGGCCGTGTTTCATCACTATCAAAGTGTGGTGGTGGAGATGATCTCTTTCACGTGGGGAATCGGACTGAGGATCTTTAATGTCTTTCTGCTTGAGGACAGGAAACAAAATTATTACTTTTACAATTAGATATAAATTCAGGCTTTGAAGAGTTAATCCGCAGCGGCCTAGTTAAAGTCCAGACCTAAATGCAACTGAGAATCTGTGGCAAAATCAAGTTTTCAATAGAGACTGACTACAAATGCAGGCCACACTTTTCAGATTTTTATTTCTGGAAATGTTGAGGTCTTCCAGAGAATTTCCTCAGACTCTGACTTGTTTTCCTGAAAAGGCTGAGAGGGACGAGCTGACGGAGAAAAGCAGCTGCTGGGTCGTAATCATGAGCTGTCCTGGTGTCAGCGGAGGGAGCGTGACCCCAGAGGTCAAACTGGACAGCGTTCTGGGATCCAAGTCCAAAACATGTTAGCAGATTCGTATTTATGTTTTAGAATCTGTCGTCTGATTGGTCAACGTCTGCTTCAGCAGACAATCTGAAACTTCCTGTTTTACGTTTGAGGGAACAAAACGGTTCCCTGATGTTTTACAGCTTGAACTTCATATAAACACTCATATTCCATAAATCAGAAAATACATTCAAATGACGTTTGTTTGTCAGATTAAAGGAACATTTTCACTTTTAGGCAGAAACATATTTTTTCATTGAAGCCACATTTCTGGATTAAAAACTTGTTTTCTTATAATTATAAACATAAAATCCTAATTATTAACATAAATCAGTTATTTAACCAGTATAATAATGCTGCATGTTCAAAGCCATTCTGCCATCCTGAGGATCATCAGGATGTTTCTGGTGAATGTCAGGCAGTCTTTGTGTGATTCTGGTTCTGACAGTCTGCAGACCCGCCGCCTGGTTGATGATGTCTTTGCTTCTGACGTTTCCTTCCATCACAACATGATGCATTTTTCCTGGGATCGCTCGGCCTGCATCGTGTTGCCGGACGGCTTCATTTATGGACTCTGCAGGTCCATCTGTCATCAGGCTGATGAAACCGAGTCGGCTTGTTGTTATGAAATCGTCTCAGTCTTTGTTTTCTCCAGAGTGAACGCGGTAAGTCGGTTCTTAAATCCAAGGTTCCTTTTCTGGTTTCATAAGTTTCTGGAAATAAAACCTGAGGAAAGTTTTTCCCTCTAAGCTGATCAGAAGCGGCTCTGCAGCTCACATTTAATCCTCTAACGCCGTTACACAACACACAACACACACACACACACATACACACACACACACACACACACACAACACACACACACACACACACACACACACACACACACACACACACACACACACACACACACACACACACACACAACCCATTGAGGGTCAGTAGATCTGGGCTGGTCAACAGGAGTAAATAAGGTAGTCAGTGTGTGTGTGTGTGTGTGTGTGTGTGTGTGTGTGTGTGTGTGTGTGTGTGTGTGTGTGTGTGTGGCTATAATTGGCTCTCAGGTTAAAAGCTTCTCCTGCTCATC